GGGTCTGGTTTTATTCTTCTGCAGATGGATACCAGTTTTTCCAGTACAATTTATTGAAGCAGGTGTCCTTTCCCCACTGTATGTTCTTGGCACCTTTTGAAAAATCAGTTGGCTGTAAATGCGTGTATTTATTTCTGGGTTCTCTATTCTGTTCCATTGGCCTATGTGTCTTGTTTTTATACCAATACCATACTGTTTTGGTTACTATAGTTTTATAGTGTATTTTAAAGTCAGGTAATGTGATGCCTTTCTTCTTTTCTGATACAGATGTTTATTGCTATAAATTTCCCCCTTAGAACTGCTTTTGTTGGCTGGGTGTGATGACTCACGTCAGTAATCCCAGCTCTTTGTGGGGCCAAGGCTTGAGCCCAGAGACCAGCCATGGTGAAACCCTGTCTCTACAAAAATTGAAAAAATTACCCAGGCATAGTGGCACATGCCTGTAGTTGCAGCTACTTGGGAGGATGAGATGGGAGGATTACTTGAACCCAGGAGGTTGAGGCTGCAGTGAGCTGTGATCATGCCACTGTACTCCAGCCTGGGTGACAGTGAGACCAGATCTCAAAAGAAAAAACAAAGAAAAAAACTGCTTTTGCTGCATATCATGAGTTTTTGTATGTTGTGTCTCCATTTTCATGTGTGTCAAGGTATTTTATGATTTCCTTTTTGATTTATTTTTGGACCCGTTGGTGATTCAGGAGTATACTGTTTAATTTCCACATATTTATGAATTTTCCATGATTTCCCCTGTTATTGGTTTCTGGTTTCATGCTATTGTGATTGGAAAAGGTACCTAATATGATTTCAATCCTCTTACTTTTTTTTTTTTTTTTTTTTTGAGATGGAGTTTTGCTCTTGTTGCCTAGGCTGAAGTCCAATGGTGCGATCTTTGCTAACTTTAACTTCTGCCTCCTAGGTTCAAGCAATTCTCCTGTCTCAGCCTCCCGAGTAGCTGGGATTACAGGCACCCATCATCACACCTAGCTAATTTTTTGTATTTTTAGTAAAGATGGAGTTTCACCATGTTGGCCAGGCTGGTCTCGAACTTCTGACCTCAAGTGAACCACCCGCCTTAGCCTCCCAAAGTGCTGGGATTACAGGTATGAGCCACCGCGCCTGGCCTCCTCTTACATTTTTAAAGTCTTATTATATGACCTCTAACATATGATCCTGGAGAATGTTCTGCATGTGCTTGAGAATAATGTTTATTCTGTTGCTATTGGATGGAATGTTCTGTATATGCCAGATCTGTTTAGTCTGAGTGTAATTCAAGGCCAATATTTCTGTATTTTCTGTCTAGATAATGTGTTCATTGCTGCAAGTGGGGTATTGAAGTCCCCTACTGTTACTGCATTTCAGTCTCTCCCCTCATATTAGTAATTGCTTTATATGTTTAGGTGCTCTATAGGTGCATGCATATATATTTATAATAGTTAGATCCTCCTGATGAATTGACCATTTTATCACTATACAATGACCTTCTTTGTCTCAGTTTACAGTTTTTTACTTAGTCTGTTTTGTCTAGTTATAGCTACCACTCTAGCTCTCTTTTGGTTTCCATTTACCTAGAATATCTGTTTCTATTTCTTCACTTTCAGTCTATATGTATCCCTACTGCCTCTTGTAGCTAGTATATTGTTGGGTCTGTTTTTTGTTTGTTTTTGAGTCGGAGTCTTTCTCTGTCACCCAGGCTGGAGTGCAGTGGCGTGATCTTGGCTCACTGCAACCTCTGCCTCCTAGGTTTAAGCAATTCTCCTGCCTCAGCCTCCCGAGTAGCTGGGATTACAGGTGCCCACCACCATGCTTGGCTAATTTTTGTATTTTTAGTAGAGACAGTGTTTCACCATGTTGACCAGTCTGGTCTTGATTTCCTGACCTCGTGATCCACCTGCTTTGGCCTCCCAAAGGGCTGGGATTACAGGCATGAGCCACTGCATCCGGCATGTTTTTTTGTTTATTTTTTTATCCATTTACACTTAAGATAATAATTGATATTTGCTACTGCCATTTTGTAATTAGTTTTCTGGTTATTTTTTAGAGCCTTTGCTTCTTCCTCTCTTGCTGTCTTCCTTTGTGATTTGATGGTTTTCTGTGGTGGTATGATTTGAATCCTTTCTTTTTAGGTTTTTGCTTTGTGGTTACCATGGGGATAACATAAAACATCTTTTACTTATTACAGGCTATTTTAAGCTGATAACAACTTAACATTTTAATAGCAATCAAAAACTATACTTTTACTCCCCCTCAATATTTTATGATTTTGATGTCAAAATTTACATTTCTGTAATTTGATTGATACATTAGCTTTAGTACACTCATTTTAACTGCCTTTATTAATCCATTGTAACTATCTATCATTTCTTCTGTTGCTGGGCAGTGAGGTTATATCAAATACTTTGCTTTTAGAAACAGTACTGTAGAATGCATTGACACACACTTAACACGTAAATTTGTTTTTGTGTATGTGTATGCATGTGTATGTTTTACCAGACAAGAGAACTACAGTCCGAAATCTCTCCTTTAATCTATTAATGTAGTAAGTTACATCAACTGATTTATTCCTTAATTTTGTTTTTGCTAAAGGTGTTTAAATATATATATACACACACACACACACACATACATATGTATTTTACATCTATTATCACAACTGAGAGAGTAACCTATAATTCTCTTAGACTGCCCTTTTCTGTTTTGGGTATCAGTCTTATTAGAATAAGCCTCATGGGCTGGGCACAGTGGTTCACACCTGTAATCCCAGCACTCTGGGAGGCTGAGGCGGGCGGATCATCTGAGACCAGGAGTTCGAGACCAGCCTGGCCAACATAGTGAAACCCCGTCTCTACTAAAAATACAAAAATTAGCCAGGCATGGTTGCACACGCCTATAATCTCAGCTACTCGGGAGGCTGAGGCAGGAGAATGGCGTGAACTCGGGAGGCAGAGGTTGCAGTGAGCTGAGATCACGCCACTGCACTCTAGCCTGGGCGACAGAGTGAGATTCTGTCTCAACAACAACAACAACAACAACAACAAAACACGAGGCTCATAAAGTGAGTTTGTCACTCTTTTTTCTGGCACAGATTGTATAAAATAAAAATCTGTTTCTTGAAAATCTGTTAGAATTAAGCAGGAAAACCATCTGGTCTTGGAATTTCGTTTTTCTTGGTGGGTAGATTTTAAAATGCTGACTTAGGCTGTTTTAGCCATTATAGGTCTAGTCAGGGTTTCTATTTCTTCATTGTTTTTTAAAAAATGCTTTTTTCCTTTTTTTTTTTTTTTTTTGAGACTGTGTCTTTTCTCTGTTTCCTAGGCTAATGTGTAGTGGTGCACAATCTCGGCTCATTGCAACCTCCGCCTCCTGAGCTCAAGTGATTCTCCCATCTCAGCCTCCTGAGTGATTGGGACTACAGGCAAATGCCATCATGCCCAGCTAATTTAAAAAAAAAAATTGTAGGCCAGGGATGGTGGCTCACGCCTGTAATCCCAGCACTTTGGGAGGCTGAGGCAGGCGGATCATGAGGTCAGGAGATGGAGACCATCCTGGCCAATGTGGTGAAATCCCATCTCCACTAAAAATAAAAAAATTAGCTGGGTGTGGTGGCATGCACCTGTAATCTCAGCTACTTGGGAGGCTGAGGCAGGAGAATCACTTAAACCCAGGAGGCGGAGGTTGCAGTGAGCCGAGATCTCGCCACTGCACTCCAGCCTGGCAACACAGTGAGACTCCGTCTCAAAAAAAAAAAAAAAAAATTGTAGAGACAGGGTTTCTCCATGTTGCTCAGGCTGCTGTGGAACTCCTGGGCTTAAGCAGTTGGCCTGCCTCAGCCTCTCAAAGTGCTGGGAATACAGGTATGAGACACTGCCCCCGACCAAAAATAACCTTTATTGAAGTGAACATATATACAGAAAAGTACACAAACCACGAGGATAAAACTTGATGGATTTTCAAGTGAACATACCCATGTAACCAGCAGAACAGAGTTGAAAAGGAATGTTACCAGCACCCTATCTGCACTTGTACCTGCCTTCGAGTCTGGAAAACCACTGACTTCTGTCAGGACAGATTTATAGATTTTTGCCTGATTCTATGCTTCATATAAATGGAATTGTACAGTATATCCTTTTTTGTGTCTGGCTCCTTTCATTCAAAATTATGTAACATTCATCCATATTGTTGTATGTATTGTAATTTATTCATTCTCATTGCTGTATAGTATTCCATTGTATGAAAATACTACAATTTAGTAATTCATTGTACCATTTAGGAACTTTTGGGTAATTAATAGCTTTTGACTATTGCAAAGAGGATTGCTATAAACATTCTTGTTTTTTTGGGGAACATAATGTACACAATTCTTTTGACTACATACCTAGGAGTGAAACTCCTGGTTCAAAAATATGCATATGTCTGGCTTTAGTACATACTGCTCAGTAGCTTTCCAAAGCGACGGTACCAGTTCATAACCCCACCAGCAATGACTGGAAGTTGCAGTTGCCTTAAATCCTTGTTAGCATTTGGTAGTCTTTTGTCCGTTTTGTTTTGGCCCTTCTGGTTGCCCATATAGTAGAATGGCATTGTGGTTTAAATATCTACTTAAATTCATGTATTTTCTTTTGTGAAATGCCTAAACAAGTCTTTTGCTCTTTTTCCTATTCTGTGGCCTGCCTTTTTCTTATGGAATTGTAGTTCTTTTTAAATCTTGGGTGTACATTTTTAAATTACCTTCTGTGGCTTGATTCTTCACTCTTTTTTTTTGAGACGGAGTTTCACTCTTTTCTCGAACTCATGACCTCAGGTGATCCCCCTCCTTCAGCCTCCCAAAGTGCTGGGATTACAAGGTGTGAGTTGCCGTGCCCAGCTTACTTTTTCATGAAATATTTTAAAGATATATCCATATTGTTGCATGTGGTTATAATTTCACTAGCCTATGATGTACATTGTTTGAATATATCATAAAGTATCCATTTTCTTATTGATTGACATTTCATTGTTTCCAGATTTTTGCTGGCACAAACGACATTATGGGGACATCCCTGCATGTATATGTGTGTAAGAGTTTCTCTCATGTATATACTTAGGAGTGAGGTCGCTTAGATCATAAAGTATGTGCATGTTTAACTTTCTAAGTAATGTTGTTTTCAAAGTGATTATACCAATACATACCCCTACCAGGATCATCAGACTTCTTAACTTTTGCCATCTAATGGATATAAAATTATCTCATTTTAGTCTTTCCTGTTCTATGAAATATTTGTCTTTTGCACATTTTTACAAACTGGGTTATTTTTCTTATCGATTGGAAGGAGTCCTTTACATGTTCCAGATCCTGTCTTGTTATATGTTATATGTGTTAGAAATAACTTCTCTCAGTTTTTGGTTTGTTATACGTGATCTTTTTGTTTCCCAATTTTATTAAAAAGAAGTTCTTAGAGATAATTCACATACCACAAAATTCAGCTTAAATGTGTTCAGTTGTGTTTTTTGTTGTTTTTGTTTTGTTTGTTTCTGAGACAGAGTCTGGCTCTGTCACCTGGGCTGGAGTGCAGTGGTGTGAACTTGGCTCACTGCAACCTCTGCCTCCTGGTTTCAAATGATTCTCATGTCTCAGCCTCCCGAGTAGCTGGGATTACAGGTGCACCACCATGCCTGGCTAATTTTTAAAAATATTTTTAGTAGAGATGTGGTTTCACCATGTTGGCCAGACTGGTCTGGAACTCCTGACCTCAAGTGATCTGCCCATCTCTGTCTTCCAAAGTGCTGGGATTACAGGTGTGAGCCACTGTGCCTGGCCAGTTCAGTGGTTTTTAGTACATTCACAGAGTTGTGCAGTTATCACCACAATCCAGTTTTAGAACATTTTCGGTATCCCCAAAAGAAACCCTGTAACCCGTTCCTTCTCCCACAGTCCATGGCAACTACTAGCCTTATCTCTCGCACACTCTCTCTTTGTGTGTGTGTGTGTGTGTGTGTATATATATATATATGGACTTTTTTTTTTTTTTTAAAGTCTTGCTCTGTTGCCCAGGCTGAAGTGCAGTGGCACGACTTCAGCTCACTTCTGCCTCCCAGGTTCAAGGGATTCTCCTGCCTTAGCCTCCCGAGTAGCTTGGATTACAGGTGTATTTTTGTATTTTTAGTAGAAGTGGGGTTTCACCATGTTGGCCAGGCTGGTCTTAAACTCCTGATCTCAAGTGGTGCACCCACCTTGGCCTCCCAAAGTGCTGGGATTACAGGCATGAACCACTGCTCCTGGCCTCTACTTTATATTTCTTTTTTTTGAGATGGAGTCTCCCTCTGTCGCCCAGGCTGGAGTGCAGTGGCCGGATCTCAGCTCACTGCAAGTTCCGCCTCCCGGGTTTATGTTCTCCTGCCTCAGCCTCCCAAGTAGCTGGAACTACAGGCGCCTGCCACCTCGCCCAGCTAGTTTTTTTTGTATTTTTTTAGTAGAGACAGGATTTCACCGTGTTAGCCAGGATGGTCTCGATCTCCTGACCTCGTGATCTGCCCGTCTCGGCCTCCCAAAGTGCTGGCATTACAGGCTTGAGTCACCGCGCCCGGCCTACTTTATATTTCTATAGATTTGCCTATCCTGCGTATTTTTAAAATTTTATTTATTTTATTTTTTGAGGCAGTATCTTACTCTGCTGCTCAGGCTGGAGTGCCATGGTGCAATCTCAGCTCACTACAGCCTCAACCTCCCGGGCTCAAGTGATCTTCCCTCCTCCTTCCCTCGAGTAGCTGGGACCACAGGTGTGCACCATCACGCCCCAATAATTTTTGCATATTTTGGTCGAGATGGGGTTTTGCCATATTGCCTAGGCTGGTCTCAAACTCCAGACATCAAGCAATCCACCTGCCTCGGCTCCCCCAGGTGCTGGGATTACAGGCGTGAGCCACAGTGCCTGGCCTATTCTGGGTATTTTAATAAACAGAATCATAGAATATATGACCTTCTGTTTTTATCTCCTTTTATTCAGCATAATGTTTTCAGGTTTCATTCATGTCATAGCATGTATCTGTACTTCATTCCTTTTAATTGCCAAATAATACTCCATTGTATAGGATATACCACATTTCCTTTATCCAACCAATGATGGACATTTGGCTTGTTTCCACTTTTGGCTGTTGTAAGTAATGCTGCTATGAACATTTATGTACAGGATTCTCTGTAAACATGTTTTCATTTCTCTTGGGTATATACCAAAGTGTGAAATTTCTGGGTCATATGGTAACTCTGTTTAATCTTTTGAGAAACTGCCAAATTGTTTTCCAAAGTGGCAGCAGCATTTTCTGTCCCCACCAGCAATGTCTGAGGTTCCAGTTTCCCCACATCCTCAACTAGACTTGTTATTGTCTCTCATTTTTTATTCCATCCCATACAAAGTAGGTATGAAGTGGTAAGTCATGGTTTTGAGTTGCATTTTCCTAATGACTAATGATGTGGAGCATCTTTTCAAGTGCTCTCTCTCAAGTTTTTAAAATAAAAATTTGCAAACATATAGAAAATCTGAAAGAATTGTACAGAGAACATTGGTGTACATCATCTGGGTGCGGTGGCTCACGCCTGTAATCCCAGCACTTTGGGAGGCCGAGGCAGGCGGATCACGAGGTCAGGACATCGAGACCATCCCGGCTAACATGGTGAAACCCTGTCTCTAGTAAAAATACAAAAAAATTAGCCGGGCGCGGTTGTGGGCGCCTGTAGTCCCAGTTACTTGGGAGGCTGAGGCAGGAGAATGGCATGAACCCGGGAGGCGGAGCTTGCAATGAACCGAGATCGTGCCACTGCACTCTAGCCTGGGCGACAGAGCGAGACTCCGTCTCAAAAAAAAACAAAACAAAACCAAAAAACAAAACATTGGTGTACATTTCAGCTGGATTCAATTATCAACATTAAGCAGTGTATACATTTGTATTACTTGTACTTTCTCTGTATATATATATATATGTGCACATCTATACACATGTATATCTAACTTTTTGCCGAATTATTTAAATCTTATGACACTTTGTAGATCAACTTACATCTCTTAACCACATTCTTCTACATACCCACAATAGCAGAATTATATGTAAGAAAATTTAAAATTTCATCACTTATATTCATAGATTCATATTCAAATGTCAATTGTCACAAGGTTTTTTTTTTTTGTAACTTTTTTTTTCAAAGACCAGAATCCATCCAAAATTCACAAACTGCATTTGGTTGTTGTATCTTTTAGTAATTGCTGACAATCAAGTTTTAATTTGGTTGGAACATCAATCTTTTCTAGTTAGTCCTTTTCTGTGTCTCATTTAAGAAATCCTTTCCAACCCTGCAATTACAAAGATATTTACCTATATGTCTTCCAAAAATTTAAATTGTTTTGCACTTCTGACAAAAATGTAGTACAAATTAGGGATTCAATTTCATTTTTCTCCATATGAACAACCAAATGTCTCAGCCTCCTCTTTTCCTCAGTAACATATAATGCTGGCTTTCCTATGCTGTATGTGTGTGTTGGTCAACTTGTTCACATTTGGGCTAATTCCATACTGTATTAATTACAGCTCTAAAATACATATTAAATTTATTAATTTAATATTAATTGAATGCTTAATTTAGTTTATGAATATTAATTATAGCTATAGCTTTGAAATAAATATTGATATCTGGCAGAGCAAGAACCATCATTATTCCCTAAGTCATTACCATCACAACTTTATTCTTATTCTTCAGTAGTATTTTGATTATTCCTGGCCCTTGTCAATTTCTGTAAAAAATATAGGTGTGAGCCATGTATTTCTTTTCAGTCATTTTGGTAACTTATTCTCCAGATATTTGTCTGTTTCATCTAAGGTCTCAGTTGGCTGGCATCAAGTTTTTAGGGTATTAACAATAAATTTATTCTGGATCTGTAGCTATTACATGTTTTTTCATTTTTAATTTTATCATTGACTTGTCTCTTTTTTTTTTTTTTTTGAGACGGAGTCTCGCTCTGTTGCCCAGGCTGGAGTGTAGTGGCGCCATCTCAGCTCACTGCAAGCTCCACCTCCCAGGTTTACGCCATTCTCCTGCCTCAGCCTCCCGAGTAACTGGGACTACAGGCGCCTTTCACCATGTTAGCCAGGATGGTCTCGATCTCCTGACCTCGTGATCCGCCTGCCTCGGCCTCCCAAAGTGCTGGGATTACAGGCGTGAGCCACGGCACCCGGCCTGTACTTTTTTTTTTATAGAGGGGGGCTTCGCCATGTTGCCCAAGCTGGTTTCAAACTCCTGGACTCAGGTGATCCATCTGCCTTGGCCTCCCAAAGTGCAAGGATTATAGGCATGAACCACTGCAGCAGGCTAACGTCCAAAGTATTTTGTCTTAAAAGATCAACTTTTACTTTTTTTTTAATGGGTTACTCCTCTTACAGTGTTACCTCTTCCCTCTACTCCCTTAGGGTTTAATCTGTTATGTTTTAATGTTTTAAACTGAGTGTTCAGTTTATTAACACTCACTCTATCCTTTAAGATACAAGCATTTAAAACTACAAATGTCTATTTGCCACTTTCTCTGCCTGTCTTTTTTTAATTATAGAATATTTCAAACATATACAAAATTGGACAGCATAACAAACCCCCATGCATCCATCAGCTAGCTTGCGAAGCAAGAGATTTGAATATAAAATAAATGATCAATTCATCTTAATACTGACCCACTCCCTTCTTGGCACTCATTAATTTTGAGACATTCTCAGACATCAGTGCATCCCATGTTTTGATATAATATTTTCATTACTATTTACTTATAAGTGTTTTATAATTTCTTATTTACAAAGTTACTTAGAAGTGTTTTTATAATTTCCAAAAGCATTGATTTTTTGTGGGGTATCTTTTTGAATTGACTGCTAATTGTATTGTGTTCAAAAACTAGGGTCTATATTAAACTGTTTTTTGTTTTTTTTTGAGACAGAGTCTTGCACTGTCGCCCGGGCTACAGTGCAGTGGCTTGATCTCAGTTCACTGCAACGTCTGCCTCCCGGGTTCAAGCGATTTTCCTGCCTCAGCCTCCTGAGTAGC